AAACAAATTTAGGATTAGAACATTCAACTTTCTTTAGTCAAGATTTGGCCATTTGAATAAGAAAAAAAATTATAAAAATAAAATTTTTGTTCTTTCGAACCACCAGAACCCCCCTTGGCTACAGGCTTAAAACATAATTAGTATGAAGAGAGGATTAGTTATTTATATATATAAATATAAAACATAAATTATTTAAATGCAAAACAGAGAAAACCGCAATTCACAAGAGCAAATTGAACCGTGGAGGTCGTACCGTACGGTTCAGTATTATATTAAGAACCGTGGCATATATATGTAGACATATAGAGATTTACCCGTCCCCACCAATGTCAAGTGCAAACCTACGCTCTTAAACCATTTCTTTAATCATAGTAGATGTTTTCCCCCAACAAATGACACAGATATTCCTGACCAACATGTTATTTTTCCTCAGCTTTATTTCAACAGATGTGGACAGGCTTCAGTTAAGCATGGAATGGAGACAATGTCAATCATCTTCTCTCTCTCTCAATGTGAGTAAGTTATGCTCCTCTAAAGTCATGTACACTGACCCCTGCTGGCAGACAGTAGCCAATCAAAGACAAGTGTTAGTCTTGGAAAACATCCTCCACCAATCAACCATAACTGAGAACGTCCCATCAAGTAACGATTAGTTTACAATTGAATATGTTTGCCTGACATTATTATTTACTATATTACAAGCTTTTTACAACTTAAAAATAGACTAGTCACTACTGTACCTGTAAATACACATTATTTTTTTTTGTACAAATCCCGTACCGACACGTTAACCAGTAAATGTAAGGCAGAAAAACAACAACAGAGGAATTAAAGTAATCATCCAACAAAAAGATGTTAGCTCTTCCACAGAAAGGAAATGTAGTGCCTCAGAAAATCAAACAATGACACTTAATCAGTTCCAGGTAAAGATTAACAGGTGTATGTTTGGCTAGCCTGACAGCAAACAAGCTAATTAGGTGAACGTCTCTTGAATGAAATGACTAGTTATCACATTTCTGCAGCAATACTATACAGCATACGACAACCAACGGGAACCCTTGGTTAACAGATGCACCGTTTAAAAACAAAACTGCGACTTTACATGCAAATTTTACATCGGGGTTCAGTCTCCAAAAGCAGCATGCATTGAACTTGGAAAATTCGAAATCAAGTTCAATAATGGTTAAAATGCTCGCATAAGGGCAGGTTGAAGCAACGCTGCCCAACATCAACAACAACAAAACAGTCAGTAGGCAGCACGTGGACAAGGTTTGCTTTCAACCAGGTCATAAACGAAGCAAAGGAGCACAGCAGTGCCGTCCTGCAACAGGGAAAAGCCAAGATTCACAATGCAGATGAGGTTACAGAACAATGTGAAGAGTCCAAACCTGAAATAAAACCATCTTAAGAACAAAAGGCAAGTCAACCGATTGGTTCCCATTGGAGGATCTGTTACGACTCGTGCTGATTTATTAATGGCAGAGCATCTGTTGGCACTTTTGGACCTGTTGTAACTCCCAAACTTACCAGAGGATAATGAAGTCCAACAAACCCCCTGAGAGAACTTAAAGGTAATGGCTGTTCCCTGAAAACAAAAAGGGGCACGAGCAAGACAAAAACGAACAAAGCAGTGACACGTTGTAGATCTGAGCAACTCACAGTGCATGACATTGGGCAGCGACTGAGAGAACTAAACCATTTATGATGATATGGTCGACGTTTTCTTCCCATATCGAGTGCTACGTGTTATTTATTCTCTCAGCGCACGGCCAAGTCTTGAAATGTCAAACAAAATATGACGTTGGTCACTATTAATCCATGACTTTCTCTCACCTCACTCTTTTCTGAATGAAGATGAGCCTCTGCTGTGAATGTGGAGGAATGTTATCCAATGAAGGGGGAATGGCTGTTAATAAGGTGCAGGCGTTGTGTCTTTAGATGTGCATGTGAGATTGTCTGTTTAGAAGCGTATGGGTCTGTGTGAAGAACCCTCGTCTCTGATCCAGCTCACAGTGTTTACCTTCCGACAGGTGGCAAAGGCGGCGCTCCTCTCATTACTGCCAAATAAACATGCACACCAATGAGTCCAAATATACAGCATGGAAAACAATCACTGAATTCCCCCCCCCGCAAGACTTAAAGCCCCAGAAAGAAAGCAGCACAATTCGATTCATTCCAACGGCAACTTCCAGCAACAGTTACTATTGGTGACATGATGCAGGTGTGAAGTTCAGAAATGCTCAACTTTATGCAAATGACAACAACTTCGATTACAAATTATGGCAAGCCCCTTTGAATTTTATTCATTATCAGGATATAAATTGCTTATATTAACAACCTGCATTTTTTTTTATCTATTTATTAACATCAGTTAAAATATTGTCACCAATTAAACAGTTGATATCAAAAATGCTTTAGATTTTCACTAGTAACACCTAATTCTTGATATCCAGGCTGCACAACACTGAAAAAACTTACATTGCAATTTTTGGATTTGATGTTATGTTTTACGTGGAATATGTTACAAGATAACTGGAATGGCTTTATTGTGAATTTTTCGTATAATTTAGATTGATTGGGATGATTTTGTTGAGGAGTGCATCTGCATGGAATATACAAATGTAGAATAACAGTATGCAGAAACAAAACTAATATGTATCAGTAATCAGTGGTCCCTTGCGGTTCATCTTTCGCAGCCACGCAGTTTTGTTTGCCAAATTTACGTAAATCTTCAATCGCTAACAGTGCGACTCTGAAGTGCTATACTGTATGTTTGCAAGTTTTGTCCCCAACAAACCCCACAATGTCGACAAAACAATCTGCACCTGCAGTAGCAACCAAAAAGGCAGAGGAAGATGCTAACCATCGCACAAAAAGTTGGACTTCGGGACATGCTAATGGAAAGTAACGTTACAAAACTGTAGGGTGGCATTACGGAATAAATTAACCATAGGTTCATTACATTAAATTTAACAACCTTAAAACATCTATAAAATTGAAACAAAATGAAGCTGACTACTTTGTGGATTTCACCTATTGCATATTATTGTAGAACGTAACTCCCACGATTAAAGAGGGACCACTCTACTGTGTAGATATCATTGATAAAACTATGTGCAGCCCTAACGGATATCAACAATTCATTTTTCTTTAGTTAAAATTAAGTTTCTGATATCAACAAAAAGCATTTTACCTAGGTAAAATATAGTTCCCAATACCTTTAATTCTATTTTCATTAGTTAAATTTCACCACTGGCTGCCATTCAACTTTGAATTTCAGATATGGAAAAACAGAATTTCAATGCCTACTAGTAAAAGCCTTTATTTTTAATATCTACACCCCTTGATTACTGACTATTCTTGATATTGATGCTACTAGTGAAAAAGTTTATTTTTAGATTTTTGTAATTTTAAATAAAGTTAAATGTCAATTCCTGATTTCAGGAATTTAATGCCAGCGACAATGCAGAACAATCTTATTCATTTCAATGGAAAAGACTTCCAGTGGAGGAAGTTGAATTGTTAATTCTTGATATCTGTGACTATATTTCAACATGATACATTTGTTATTTTTGATTTCTAAAATGTATTTCTGTTATCAGCAATTAGCAAAGTAATATCCAAAATGTATAATTTTACTAGTGACAATCAAATTCATGATATCAGAAATTACCTATCCAATTTGGCATAAAAAAGAACATTTAAAAAAAAACTTCACACTAGTAAAAATGATGTTGATTGATAGTAAAACATCAGCTGATGGTCAACCTGGCATTGTATGAGCCTGCAGGCACTGTACCAGTACAATCAGACACAAAAAGAATTAAATACAAATCAAACTGTTCAGTCTTTGAGACTTACCTCTGTTAGCTTTGCTTGGGTATATCTTTGTGAAGTGCCTGTACTCTTCTGGAGGGGGGAAGTCGTCCAGAGGATGAAATGAATACTTGGACTCAAAATCATCTGACATTTGGGGAGAAAAATTGATATTAGAGAAGTGAGTGACAAGACACATCATACATAAAGAATACATTTTGGCATCTGATAATTTTACACATTCAAAAAGGATCCATCAAAACCATCAATGTTGACAGACCTATAATTTTACAAAACTGTCTGTCATGTCAGTGTTTTCTTTTGAAAATTGTATTCATAAAGAGTCCTGCCTCTTGCTGCCACAAAATAGAAAAAAGCACCACAACGATTTCAACATTTACTGTTAATTAATGCTACTTGAGCATCTATTTTCTTAATGATCGTGTGACATTAGACTGGTGTAATGATGTTGAACATTCAGCTTGAAATTGCTGATCTAAATAATATTTTTAAATCACAATACTTTACAAATATGTTTGCTCAAACACAGCCTTGGTAAGCAAAAGTGATTTCTTTTCACAAAAAAAGTCCAAATTTAAAGTAAAGTTCTTCTTTTAAAGTAAAATAAAAGCTTTTATAGAAGTTTCACACATAAACTTAACATTAAACAATGATAATAACCTCTGGACAATTTAATTAATTAGCCTTATTGAGCAAACCCAATCGTGTTAATGAATAAATGTAATTGTTTTTTTCATTGGCATTAAGTGATGTTCATGTGATGCTAAAGCACTTTTATGTCACTCTAGATAGGTGTCTCTGCTAAAAGAGTAAAATATTAACAAAAGGCCAAAAACTTTACAAACACGCAACTACACTAACCTTTTCAAATGGAATGACACTTTAAATTACTATATAGACAACAGTTCTGAAAACCATTAAGCACATTTTTTAAAATCCAAATATCTTAATTAGCATCATAAATGCACTTTAGGAACAGAACGAATTGTGCACATCTTTTTTTTTTTTTTAACTAATCTGAATATTTTTTTTACGTACTGCATTTTGTATCACCTGTTTCACAAATACACAATAAAAAGATAGATAAACACACGGAGTGGTTCACATCACACGTCAGTATCATTTCTTGAAAAATGCCCAGTGCAGCGCTAGTAGGTTTGTCAAAAGTATGAACTTCAGTACTGAAAAAAAAAAACATCCATTTCCCCATTAATATTTGTGCATGTTTTTAAACACCACCGATTGGCCAATGTGTTCACGTACTCACCAGATATGACTGTTATCGGCTGTGAAGACCATCCTTTTACCACTTTGCAAACACAAATACACGGAAACTGGATCGTTTCAAAAAGCGGCATCGATCAGTCGATCCATCAGAGGATCACTCATCTGCATACTCAACATATATGAGTACAGGTCTCAAAAATCTCATTTAAATGTGTATTTTCTATAGGCTTTACAATATTATATTTGTGCATGTACATTACATCTGATACCAAATCTGGAGCTTATCTAACAAATAGCTTAATAATGGTTCAAAAGCAGTACACCCAAATTAATGTTATAGGAAAAATATTTTAAAATATATATATAAAAAACGGGCAAAATTCAGGAAAAAACTATTTTTGTAGTTTATAATTTTATTTTCCAATATTTCACATGAATTTAAATGTATTATATTTCTAAAGATATTCGGTGTCTAAAATATTATATTAATAAATAAATCTGTTTTGTACAATGGTACCTAAAGATATTCACTGAGAAATTGATCAAATATTCATTTTCAAAATGTGGTGTACTCATTTTAAACGATATTAAGCACTGTATGTCAGACAGATCAGCTGATAGACACGGCTTTAAAACAATCCAGTATGCCTAAACCTGCATTTACACTTGGTGGAGAGTGATAAACCGACGACCCTCACAGTCATATCTGTTCAGCATGTGAACACAATTAAGAACACGCTCAAATATTAACAGTAAAAATGAATTGGTACCAAATTTTTACCAAAGTCGATACTTTTGACAACCCTAGGCACTAGAAACCTCTAGATGAACGGTGGAGGCTGAAATGAGCGGGTGAGGCTGCAGGTGTGGCTGACAGTGAGTTTGAAGGACTCACCTACAAAGGAGCGGGAGATAGAGGTGTGTCCATTTCGGATAGGTGGGGGAGGGGGCGGGGGTCCAGCTGGGGTGCGGGAGGGGGGAGGAGGGGGCTTGCCTCGGCTTGGGGCATCTGAGCTGGTGCCATGAGTCCGATAAGGTGGTGGAGGCGGTGGTGGAGCATCACGACCATTCCTCGATGGCTGCCCAGGAACGGGAGGAGCTGGGAAGGCATGACAAAGTGACATCAAGCAAGATACTAGTACCTAGAAATCTAAATCTGCAGGTGTCACCAAGGTTTTAAGACCTTTTCAAGACCATCAAGAATAAAATTTTAGACTTATATTAAGCTAAACGCTAAGGTTGTTAGCCACTTATTATAAATAATGAGTCAAAACATGCAAACCTTTATTTGTCCAACTTTAAAAAAAATCTTTAAAACTTTAATAAACTAGATAATATGCACAACAGACTGTTATATTATTATGTCTAAATAGAGTTTTGCTGAATGCTTTATTGAGATGTATTGCTGATTGGATGTTTGTTGGATAAATTGGGTGGCTTTTCATAAACAAAGAAAAATTAGGACCCATTTAAAAATGATTTAAGACCTGCAAGACAACAATTTAGAGTGAAGTTAAGACTTTAAGGCCTAAAATTTTGTTTTTAAAATATAACATATAACATTGGTATTTAATAACCAATTTCTTTGGTGTTTGCCCTGATGACAGTACATCATATTTTTCAAGTTATTTTGCAAGATACTATTATTAAAAGCTTAATTTGGTATTTCAACTAGGTAAATTAGCTTAATTTGACGAGGCATTGGACTACAGTGGTTCTATAGACAATTGAGAAAACAGTTTTCTTACGTGGGCTAATATTGTTCTTAATTTTTTAAACAGTTTTTTATCCAGCAAAAAAAAAAACAATAGGAAAAACAAGAATTTCTCCAAAAGGAAAAACAATACAGGAAATACTGTGAAAACTTCCTTGATGTTCATCGCTTGTTAAACATTTGATTTCAATATTAAAATGTTTAAAGTAGGGCTAAGAAATGTTTGCCTTTAACTGTGGATAAAAAGAGCAGACTTCTTTTTGTTACGCTATAAAATAAAACAGAAAATACAAAAGGAAAAAAATGTATAACATATATAACTTTCTAAATGACTCAAGCACATTATGATTCAAAGCTTTAGGTTCAAGTGATTTATTTTAAATAAATTAATACTTTTATTTAAAAAATGAATCATGAATTGATTGAAAGTGACAGCACTGATAATACCACAAAAAAATTGAAATTAAAACGAGTGCTGTTTATTTGATCACTCTATTCATCAAATAATTTCCTAAAATAAAATATACCCTCTTCCACAAATACTATAAGCGGCACATCAATATTTAAATAATAAGGATTAAAGATAAACATATGGTGAAAAAATAAGAATATTTTTTACCATATCAGAATATTGAATTGAAATCTGAAGGAACTTGTGACAGAAAACTGCAGAAAAGGCTAGTGAAACATGCTTATCAGAAATACATTGTAAAATTACTGTAAGAAATCACAGCTTTTCTAGTTGTAAAACAGACTGCAGTTGATATATATATTGATCCATAGTTAGAAAATCTGCATCGTCACAAAAGCTGTGAGCAAATTTTAATTCTCTCATGTAAAAGCAAAGCTAATTCTGTCCTCAAGCATCGTCCTATGTATGCTCCATCAGCTCTATTCATCTGTTTTTGTTTCTGTCAGTTTGGCGCCATCTTGTGACTGAATAATGCACAGGTTTTTATGCTCCATTTTCTTGAATCAGCCGGTTTTGTTTCTGTCAGCTTTGCGTTTAATTAAAGAATTAATAAACTAACATGGTTCAGAAAAATATTTTGTGTCTAATTTTTCTATTTTGTGTCATGTAGCCATGTAATAGGATAAAGTACATCAGATATGGTTGCTTTCACAGAATAAAGCCCTTCAGAGAACAGCTCAACATTGGGCTTTATATTACATATTCTGTGAAAACAATCTCCTGGATGTCCTTTATCTCAGGGTTTCTGCAGGTTTCACAAAAAAATCAAATGAAAGGCTTTTTAAGAACATCATGAATGAAATTACAGATTAATACAGGGCTAAATGCCAATGTTTTTTTAATGACCTGGTGGTTGTTTTACTAGATTTTGACTTGCTTGTGCTTTTAATCAAATATTAATGAAAAAAGACGATTAAAGCATAGTAGTAAATAAAATTAATAAATAAAACAAGTTTTATTTGGTTGGACTGTTGGTGTATGAGTGTTGAGCTGATTGTGTTGCTTTACATGGACAAACAATACTTCTGTAAAATGATTTAAAGGGCTGCTATGATGAAAATCAACTTTTGTAAGCTGTTTGGACAGAACCGTGTGTAGGTATAGTTTGTCCACTGTCACATTTGGAGTGATATGAACACAAGTCTCTTTTTTATATTTCCTGATGTTAAAATGGGAACCAAAAAAATTCTAGTGATTTTAAGGCCCACCGCAATGTGACATAGGAGTGCGGTTTATCCCGCCCCACTGATTTGATTGACAGGCGCCATGTTTCTATAATGAACATGTATACACACATCCACAGAACTTTTTTTTTGCCAATAAACTGGAATAAAAACAAGCTACAACTGTGATTTTCATACTGTGTTTAAAACGTTTTTAAAACAAAGCATGTTTGTAATAAAGACGCTTTAATAAAATCGCTGTAATTCTTAATCGATATATATATATATATATATATATATATATATATATATATATATATATATATATATATATATATATATATATATATATATATATAGATAGACAGATAGGATCTTAACCACAGCCGTATAGTGTCAGTAAACACTAATATCTATGTGTGTGTGTACTTGACTCATCATTTCAGAAAGGCTTGAATAAACTCCACCACAAATACATGAAACAAACTTACTTGGTATTTTTGACTAAGGAGCTGTATTTCAGCTTCATCCGAGTGCATTTCTGGCACTGTGTATCAGACGCATGTGGGAATGATTTTTTTTTGGAGATATTGCGATTTCATTTGTGATTTAACTTTGTGGTCAAGCTTCAGCTCTAATCTGCAAGTCATGGCAACAATTCTGCAACAGCTCCTGAAAATGACCTGTTTTTGTTCGGTGTCTGTGACTTTGAAACCAAAATATTCCCATATTACCAATGCTGCTTTTCTTTGATATTAATTTGCTTATTAATGCTTCTGAAGCAGCAAGACACCATTATACCACTTGTCCACTTTTTTTTTTAATAGTAGACATTCCAGTCTGGTTGTGCAATTCTGATTGGGCAGAACGAAAGTGCGCTCACTGAATTGGCTAGTAAGACTATCATACACAGACGGCAGTCATGCATTTGCTCTGGGCGGGGGAAATTAAATAATACATTATTTGCAATTAATCACAACATTTAAAATTGCGATTCGATTTCAATTAATCTCAGAGGGTGGGGGGGGGGAAGCAGCTCATTTGCATTTAAAGCCATAGGCTACAAAAACAGCTACACTGTACTCAAAATGGGCAGATTCTGCAGGCTATAATAAATGATCAGATGGCAGATACATTCTGGAGACACCAAAGGCTTATCTTACATCTTGTAAAATGAGTAAAATATTTGCCTTTTAAGACCTACAACACAATATTTCAGAGAATTTAAGTTTTTTTAAGACCTAAAATTTACTTTTTGAAATATAAGACAATAGGTATTTTTAAGATTGCGCGGACACCCTGTATCCCTAACATATCCACCAGTTTTTAGACACAACAGCTCACCTGCTCCTCGTCCCGGGGGCTCTCGTGCTGGAGGAGGGGGTCTGCCGGCCTGCGGGGTGGGTGATGGAGGTGGAGGCGGTGCATGTCCACGGGTCGGTGTGTGTCCAGCCGCTGAAGGCTTCTTGCTGAGCGAGTTGTGTCTCTGGGGCAGTTCAGGGGCTGCTTCGTTCACAGGACTGGAGGGTCCATTGGAAAGCCCAGACTGCTGGCGGTATGGCGGAGGAGGCGGGGCCAGAGAGGAAGAGGAGGACGAAGAAGAGCGGCTGCTTGCAGGAGATGGAGGAGGTTTAACGGGCGGAGGGGGGGCATTTTCACGCACCGGTGCTGGAGAGGGTCCGCGCTGCTCTGGAGTCGGGGGAAGAGGCTTTTCTCGATTGTACAAAGGTGCGTTGGCCTTCTGCAGCGGAGCAGGAGGAGCGTTCCCACGCCGGGACATTGGGGGAGGTGGAGGCGGAGCAGAAGAGCTGTGCTTCATACCTGTAGAGGGGCTGTTGCCTCCAGCGGGGGAACGGGACAGATCAGGAAGGGACGGTCTCTGCGGACGGCTAGACTCAGGAGGAGAGACCTGCTGAGAGGGACTGTCGGGGTCTTCTTGACTGCCGGGAGGGCGAGGAGCAGCAGAACGAGTGCCATGAGGGTGCAATGCAGACCGGCCTGCAGAACCATCTGTAAAATAGCATAACCAGACCAATGAAACAATCAACCGTAACTGTGTCCATATTCATTCATTTTCCTTTAGCTTAGTGCTTTATTTATCAGGGATCGCCACAGCTTGTTGATAATAATTTTGTAATTGATCATTATTGATAATCTTGTTTATGAAACAAGTTTTCCTAGATAACCCTACAATAAATAAATCTGCAAATAATTTGTTATATATAGTAAAGTTATTTAAAATCATCTGTTTTATAAGTTATAAGTCATATTAAATTGTGATTCTTCAAAATGTGACCCAAACACACTCTGCACAATAGAGGGAGTGAAAATGTATATTTGTTGGTGAGCTGCTTCGTAAAAATTATCCAACAATTAACACACCTCCTACGGGTCGCAATTTTGGGACGCCACCCTGAAACAAGCCTCCTACTGGCTGCACTGGTGCAGGAGAACCACCGCCACTGCTGGACACGCCTCCACCGCTTCCTTTCGGCTCTGAAGAAACACAGAACACTCATGGATCAGTTTGAAAAGGTACATCGCTGTTCAAAAGTCTGGTGATGATTACTTTAACTAAAAGACAAATCAAACTGATCACAGTCAGACATTCATAAAGTCATTAAAAGATTGATATTTCAAAAGAATTCTGTTAATCTTGAGCACTAAAATATTAAATATGCTCAATTGATTGTTAAAATTGGCGTATTTAACACTGAAAGCACTGAAAGAGAATTATTAAATTGTAATACAGTATACTTTATTACTAATTAAATGTATACGAGGTTCCCATTTTTAGTCAAATATCAAATTTCATGACTTTTACAGACTAAAAAGCTGAATTTGCTTGACATCTAATGAACAAAAAAGGCTGCGATTGTGCTTATATTATGATAATAAAACAATGTTACAATGATAAGGAAATATCATTGAAAGGAATATCGTTCTGTTTTACTTTAATAGCCATTGTAGAGAACAACAATGGATAATTTAACTCATATGTTTTGAAGCCAAAGCTCTTAAAAATTTATATTATCATGGCATATTATTAGTTAACAAATACAGTTTTGGGCGATTTGATTAAAATGAAAGGAATAAAATGAAGCTAAAAAAAAATCATAATCTAACTAAACAGCATAATAAAAACAAAATAGCAATATATATATATATACATATATTCAAACTAAAATTGAAAACACAAAATAAAATCCCTGAACTTGAACAAAAATATTTACAAGGGCTGCAGGAAAATGGAAAAGTCGAAAAGTGCCAAATTTGGTTATTCTGTGATATATATTATGATATGAATATTCTCTTTTTTTGGAAAGAATTTATCATTTTAGATTGATTAGGATGATTCTGCAGTGGGAGTGCATCTGCATAAAATCTAATAAACAATCTATAAGCATAGATAAATACAGCAAAAAATAAAGTACCTTTCGCTAAACAAAGTAAGAGATACAATTGAAATGGTGTTTTCCAAGTCTAACAGTATTCAGGCACAGTAATTAAAAAAAATGATAAAATAAATACCAGAACAGTTTCTTATGCCTAAATGCTTTTAAAATCATTAAACGGTCAGAGGCCTCAAAAACACATGCAAATGGTCAATTATAATTAGGTTAAAATAACTAAAACTAAATTACAAAATCAAAATTGTACATCCGGCCACGATAATACAGCGAATGATCACATTGTGATATCGATGCTGAAACGATATGTGCAGCCCTCGAATAGACCTTTTAAAATTCTATGATGTTCCAGAAATTCCATGACCCATAGGAACCCTGTGTGTATTTGGACAAATAAATGCAGCCTTGGTGAGAAATAGAGATGTAGGTTGTGTCAGGGTAGGGCTGCACAATATATCGTTTCAGCATTGACTTCGCAATGGGATTATTCGCAACAGTCACATGACGAATATACGCAATGTTGAGTCTGGATAATTATTTACCATTTTGCAAGTTTTCCTTGAGGCCTGTGACTGTGTGAGGGTTTTACACACATTCAGTCATAAGAAAATGTGCCGTTTGTAACTTTGACAAATTAATAACGATTCATTTTATTGAGTTGTTTATCAAACGAAAACTCCGAAGAGGATTATTTTACATTTGATTATTCAATTACTATACCTGAAGACAGACGGACTCCTCTGAAAACAATGAAACACTGTTTATTCAGTTAGTTTATTTTTTCTATTGAATATATCTAATGCTTGTCGAAGGTTTCTTATATTTTATGCAAATGCACTGCCCTACAGATTCATCGAAATCAGTCTAAAATTCTAAATTCTTTCCAAACAGTTATTCAACAAATCTAGTGAAATCGTATTTCTATCCCAGTATCGATCACAGAATAGAAAAATATTGCAATGTTAGATTTTTCCAATATCATGCAGCCCTATGTCAGGGTAAACAGAGCTCGAAATTGTGACTATTTTGGTCGTATAATGCGCCCGAAGTTTAAGCTATGCGACCTCATAACACATTTGGGAGCATTTGTGCGACTGCATATAACGGTTGTTAGTTTAATGTGCGTAAACAAAAACCCGAAAGCCTATCAATACGTGAGCCCTCAGAATCTGTCAGCAGTTTTTGCACTTACTCTCAATCAAAGGAGCGCTCCTGTCATTGACTCCGGTCGTTTTCTTCAACCTGGCCCCTTTGCAGATGTCCGAGAGCAGAGCGCCCCTGCCCTTGGCTTCATTTCGGCTCAGCTTGGGAGGAGTTGTGTTTGCCTGTGGAAGAAGTGACTATGTGAATGGATGTAGGTCTGCAGCTAATGATAAATCTATTAACTAATTTATCAATTATTTGATGAAAGTAAATGATGAATTTCATACAAAAAGTCCAAGATCTGACATTATTTAACCTGCAGCTTAGACATTAAGGGGGACCTATTATGCAAAATCACTTTTATAAGGTGTTTAAATGTTGTGCAGCAACATTCTGTGAATACAGCCTGCTCATAATAGTAAATATGTATTAATTCTATTTTTTAAAATCAAACTTGATAAAAACAGTCTGCAGAAACACTGAGAGCGGAAAGCCCCGCCTATTAGTGACAATCTCTGCCTGATTAGCATATGAGTTAGTCTTGTTTTTAAATCTGCCACTATGCTAACAAACAGGCTTTTGTAGCTCCACCCATTCTCATTTGAATTTAAAGTGACAGTCACCAAAATGGCATGATTTGAATTAAAGTCTAAAAGGGGCAGTTTCAAAGAGTTATAAACATTATTTGTGTGGTATTTTGAGCTGAAACGTCACACACACTCACAGACATCAGAGACTTACTTTACTTTTTGATAAAATGTGTGAAGCAGATCCCCTATAATGTACCATCAACAATTACATATGTAAAGACAACATCAATATAAACAAAAACATATCACATAATACTAACTTCAATAACACCTTCATGTTTCAATAAGAAATGAAACCAAATAAATAAATGAGTTACTAAAAAATTACATAATAAATGATTTCTCAAATCAGTTTTTGATAAATAACTAATTATTTAAAAATCATTCATTTTAAAAACAACCTTTAAAGTGCTCAGAGCATATAAATCGTCTAGATGTCTGTAGAATTTCATATGGTCATGTCTGGTCTCAAGTGTCTTTCATATATGGTTGTGTTGATCTTTTGCAACTGTCCTATTCCATTTGCCACTGTTCTTACATACACAAACTAATAAAAGAGAAAGAATGTTCTCAATCTGATTGATGAAATCAGGTTATTTATGGTTCTGGCCATGCAATAAAAATGAAAAGAGTAAGAAAGTCTTTAAAGAGACCAGCCAGTGAAGAGGTACTGACCTGGCTGAGGGTGGGTGGAGGCGGGGGTCCAGCAGGTGGAGGGGGAGGGGGAGGAATGGGCATCTTGGATCTGTGTTTGAAGCTGAGAGTGTGTGACAGTTAAAACTTCATGAAGACCGTCACCTGACGAAACAGAAAATAAACATACATCAAAACTAGAAAAATACAGTACAATAAACAGTTTAGGGTCTGTAAGATTTGTGCAAGGCTGTATTTATTTGATTAAAAATAAAATGTAAAAACTGTAATCATTTAAATATATTAATACCACTATTAATCCAGACTTTGAATATATATGAGAAACTGGACAACAGAACCAATAATATGTGTGCATTTTTATCTCAAAGTTAAATAAGAGTTCCACTGATGTATTGCTGGGAACTATATGAAAACCTAATTATAAAGAAAATTGCCTTTAAAGTTGTCCAAATAAAGTTCTTGTGGATATGCAGATAGTCATCAAGATAGTCTTGATATATTAACACAAGGAATTTTACAAAATATAATGGAAAATTATCTTTAATAAGTACTGTAATATTTTTATGAAAAAAGAAAAATCATTTTGACCCATAAAATGTGTTTTAGGCCATTTCCAAAATATACCTGTGCATAACACTGGTTTTGTGGTCGAGGGAATTTGTTTAGAAGACGTTATATATTTCTGTGATATAAATATGAACTTCATCATAATTCATTAATATTATAATATCAAAATAGTATTTTATATTATAATGTTAAAATGAATAATAAGCTTCATAATAAGTCACCAGCACAGCATGAACCTTCACTAATCATTTCATAATGCAAATTTGCTACTTAAAAAAGATTTTGCCATTATCAATACAGATTTCAGTGGAAACTGCTATATGTTTATGATTTTATTTGCTGCTCAATATTGTTTTTAATAGAAACCATGATACATTTTGTCCAGCATTACTGCATCAACAGAAACACACATTTATTTTAATGCATTTTTTGCAATATTATTATTATATAATTTTCTGTGATACAAACATCAATTTCATCATAATTGATAATATTATAATATCAAAATAGTATATTATAATATCAAAACTAATAAGCATTATAATGGCAGTTGTCAGTACATAATCCTTCTCAAATTAGTTTAATGGTGATTTTGTTACTCTAAAATGATTATCAATCTGGATTTCAGTGGAAACTGCTATTTTTTAGAATAATTTTATTGACTAAAATCACAGCATTCATTTGCTGCTCAATTTTTGTCACAATATTACACAATTATTTTCTGTGATACAAACATGAATTCAATCATAATTAATAATATTATAAATATCAAAATAGTATATTATAATGTCAAAATTAATAAGTAATAAGTTGCAAGTACAATATGGTCCTTCATAAATCATTTTAATATGCAGATTTGCTACTTAAAAAACATTTACCGATTATCAATATAGATTCAGTGGAAACTGCTATTTTTTTAATTTAAATAACTGTATTGACTAAAATGACAGCATTTAATTGCTTCTCAATATTTTTTTATATACAAACCATGATACGTTTGTCCAGTATTACTGCATCAACAGAAACAAGAAAAACATTTTTAAAGCATTTTTCGCATTATTACACAATTATTTTCTGTGATACAACATAAATTTAATCATGATTAATAATATTAAAATAGTATATTATGATGTCAAAATTAATAATACGTGTCATTATAAGTTGCCAACATGACTCTTCACAAATCATTTTAATATGCAGATGTGCTACTTAAAAATAGATTTAAAGATTATCAATATGGATTTCTGTGGAAACTGCTATATTTCTATTATTATATTGACTAAAATTACAGCATTTATTTGCCGCTCAATATTGTTTTTATAGAAACTATGATCCATTTTATCCACTATTACTGCATCAACAGAAACATGAAAAATAATATTTTTTAAGTATTTATTCGTAATATTACACAATCAATTTCTGAATAACTGAATGCATGCTTGGAGTGGAAAAGCACCAACTACTCACTAAAAAAATATTGACCCTCTGTCCATTTCAAGATTGAGGTAAAGGTAGTTTTATATTTGAACATTCGTTCATTTAACAGTCTCTGTATTGTTTAACACGCTAATTTGAATATTCGGTCAGAATTAAAATGCAAGTATGACTTTAAAACCACATTAGCACTATCTAATGGACTGTAAACAATGTTGTACTTTGATAATCATTGGCTGCTTACACGATTTCCCTATTTAAAATTTGCAAAGAATACTTTTCTGAGATTATATTATTAAGGAGAATGTCTGAATATCCGGATATAAAACATACTTTACCTCTATCATTTCAAGTTGGTTTTATATTCATACATTAGTTTTATTTTCTCCTTATATTGTTTACCTACGCTACTTTAATTATATGGTCTGAAATGTCATGCAAGTACGACTTCAAAACAACATTAGCACTATTTAATTGACCGTGAACAATGTTAGTCATGGGCTGCTAATATGAGTTTCCTATTTTATTAGAATTCACAAATAATACTTTTGAGAAATTAGATTATATTATTAAGGAGAAAGTCTGAATGTGCAAATATAGCACCATGTTTTGCCTCATTTGCATTGACAATCTGAAAATCTTGCATATGATATACATTGTCCTCGTTAACGGATCAACCACTGCAGCTCAGATAACATGAATGAAGCTTAACGGGATTTCCTTATTTCTAACCTGACCAGTTTTCAAGGAAGAAACATGGAAGCTACATTACAACCAGTTTAAATTAACGTATACATTTATGTTGGATGTCCGTTTTTCTGATGCCCATGAGAGCTAATTAGAATAATGTTTAACGTCACGGTATCATAAATCAGTGTAGCTGCTCTGGAAATCTAGAGGAAAACTAATTGTGTGCTATGTAAACAACACTGCCTGCAGTCTAACGCATACTTTATTCAGCTAATTTCAGCTATAAAACCAATAAATACGTGTGGTTAAATTAGGTTTATGCATGACTCGTTATTTACTCGTACATGTATTTATTTGTGAATTAGCTAGACTTTAGCCTTAGCTTAGCTTGGCCTCAGCAGGTGCGTCGGTCACGTCAAGACGTTTTCTGCCAAACTGACCGACGCTGCGTGAGAAAAAAAATGTCCCGTTTTGTCGAGCTTGGCGTAATTTGTTTATGCAATGTATTAAAACAATGTTCGTGCCTACTTTTTTCCGGAATGTCCAATGTTTTCGCAAACCGACTTCCCCTCAGACATGATCCCGCGCATCAATCGCCTTGATTTGCTCCCCAGTTCGGACCGGAAATGGCGTCACAGTAGGTCTTCACGTGAAAATGTTTATTGATTTTAAAAGCCTCTGTTTTTTAGAAATATCGAACGCAAAGCAAAGATAATCTGATGTACTTGTGAACCTTTTTTCTTTTAGCTGTAAAAATGTGCGGTAAGATGTATCGTAAATGTATCTTTTATTAACAAGTTGCATTTTTATATTGTTTTTAATCTTTAATATGCCACAGACCACAAATCATCCTTATGTGAATACTATAAATACTATAATATGACATGGGTTAAACTATGACTTGGAAAGAAATTCGTTTGTAATTAATTACAGTAAAACATTTATAGTCATTATAGTAGCTGGTGTATTTGGTCAGTTATTTTTCACATTTAATTATTTTTTTTCTTTTACGTTTTAATATAAATCTACTGTTAAATGTTGGCTGCTTATTTGAATTTTGCTCATCTTTTTTATATTACAAGTATTAGAATAGTATAATTACATTTTTGTTTGTTTCTTTTATACTGTTTAACACAGTAAAATATTTTCATTTATATTTTCATTAATTCATGACAATTTGACAATTTTGAATTTTTGATCATTAAGACTTTCATAGTAAAATGTAATTTATTATTTTTATCTATATTTTAAAAGCTTTGTTCAGACATTCAAGGTTCTTGTTAAATTTTTGAGTTCATTCTGTTTCAAATTTTGCTCTGTTCTCTCAATTTCAATTTCAATTTAATAATTGCTTTATTGGCATGACAAATGTATTGCCAAAGCATTTATAAAGTTTACATTAAAAAAAGAACATTATATATATATATATATATATATATATATATATATATATATATATATATATATATATATATATATATATATATATATATATATATATATATATATATATATATATATATATATATATATATATATATATATATATATATATATATATATATATATATATATATATATATATATATATATATATATATATATATATATATATATATATATATATATATATATATATATATATATATATATATATATATATATATATATATATATATATATATATATATATATATATATATATATATATATATATATATATATATATATATATATATATATATATATATATATATATATATATATATATATATATATATATATATATATATATATATATATATATATATATATATATATATATATATATATATATATATATATATATATATATATATATATATATATATATATATATATATATATATATATATATATATATATATATATATATATATATATATATATATATATATATATATATATATATATATATATATATATATATATATATATATATATATATATATATATATATATATATATATATATATATATATATATATATATATATATATATATATATATATATATATATATATATATATATATATATATAT